CACTATACTTTGGGGGTGAATTTGGATATTCTACCTTTTGAATTTACACTACTTATAAAATTACTTTATTTAAAACACACTTATTTAAGTCACCTTTATTTGTCTAAGAGTATTTGAAAATAGGGTAGGATAAGAAGGTAAAAGAATGTGGAGGAATTTACTTTAATTGAACAAAATGATATATTCTAGGGGAAATTGTGATTTAGCTATATGTAATTTGAAATAAGTGCACATAAAAACTTGAGTTTTTAAAATGTACATATAATGTACTTGTGGTTTGGGTATGTGCAAATACAGACATAAGATATCAAAATATGCATATAAACATTTGAGATCTGCGCTTAGTGCAAATGATTACTTGAAATTTCTTAAAGATCCTCAACTTAAAAAAATGAAAAGAGAAGAAAAATAAGGGTATTTAAGATAATTTTATGTGACTTCAAGTGGTTATATACAGTTAATACAAACCTTAGATCCTTAATTGAATATCTTGAAATTTCATATCTTTACGTGTACCCATCTCAAATCATAAGTTTGTTATATACACATTTTAAAATCTCAAGTTTTTTTGTGCACCAACTCTAAATCACAAATAACTGAACTGTAATTTTCCCTATATTCTATTTATAAAATTAATGGTCATATAACTTATATTTGTAGATTAATAATAAAAATAAATTAAATAATTATTATGAAATAATATAACTTTAAGTAAAATAGTTAAAAGATAACTGTTAATTTAATTAAAATTTTAATAAAATAATAAGTTTAATTTTATAAAAATATATTATTTTTATTTTTTATTAAAATTTTTTAATTTCAACAGTCGCAGGATCAAGGAACAATGTACAGCCCTCTGGTGCCATGCCGATATCAAGGCAAATTCTGACGACGTGGCATGTGTTCAGATCGAGTCCGACCCTTGTCAGGCTTAGTATTCAACACCAATTTAACATATCAAGCCCACATGCCAACATCATCGGCCATGAAAGCAGAGATCATGCCCAAGACACCACAAGCCTGCACATCAAAGCATGGGTAAAAATGAGGCCCAAAACTGCAGCCCTGCTCTGCAAACGCCCTTTAAAACGATTTGCTGCAATGCGTCAAATGGATGGAAGCTTAAACCTGCAATATAGGATGGGTAAGGTCATTGGAAAGGAAAGACAATAGAGATATTTTCTAGACGGACTTTTTTCACACTCAATTCAGTTTTGGTACTTTGTAACGGGTTAAGGATCTTCGTACTTCTAATACTTATTATTTTTTTTTTGTCAATAATAAAAAAGACAAGAATTATAATTTAACACTAATTTAATAATTCTTTAAATTAAAGTTTACAAATCCTCAAATGCTCTAAACTCAAATTGTTAGTAAAAATTGATAATTTATATATTAGATATAATTATACTTTCTTTTTGATGTGGAATTCAAGGGGTAGCATATTATGTGTTGAATATGATTTTGTTAGATTTGAAATTATAGAATTATTTTGCATAGTAATTTTTTCATTTTGGTGTATATAATGTTTCTTTTTTGGTTTGGAGTTTGCTTTTTGCATTTTTTTGTTTTTAAATAAGTAGTTAAAATTTAGCAAAGAGTAAATAGTGGGTAGTAGATAATGAATAACGGATAGTAATATTAGGTGATGAGTGATGGTTTGGTGGCGGATAGCGGAAAATGAATAATAAATTATTTAAAAATATAAATTATTATTTTAATTAATTTTTATTTACTTTTATTAATTTATTTCTTGTTTTTTAATTAATATTCACTTTGATCCTTGAATTTTGTTAATGCAGAACCAAGCCAAGCCACAACACTATGCTGCTTCTTCTAAAATTATTTCCGATGTCATGGTAAACCGAACAAACCCTAAGTAAAAGTTTGTGACCTTATTTAACACCTTTTCTTTTCAAATTTATTTAATTCATGAATTAAAAGATACTACATAAATTAAGATAAGCTAACCTTATTTTTTTAGAATTGTTTGGTATAACAATTTAAAATTAATAGTTAGTGATTTATAGTAATTCAATGAATAAAAATGTTTGAATTACTAATAATAACAATTTTCACCTGTTAAATTAAATAAAACCGTTAACTACTATTTTAAACAATTCTTTTGTTAAATTAAATTCGGAGTCAAATTTGGCACACTTACACAATAAAAATAATTTTTGTCCATGTAAGCATTTTGCCTTTCTCCAGCAAAAATAAAAAATGCATTTTGCATTTCTGGATTTTACATTTAACTTTCTAAAGGTAAAAACTATTTATATATGACAATGCTATGAGTATAATTGTAAAAGTATATTTTTTTACCACTTGGACTTTATTAGATTATAAGAAAATGGATCCTTAGACAAGAATGAGCTTCTAGTATCAAGGGATTAACCTTTTATTTAGAAATTAGATTAATATAAATTTGATAGAATCTAAATTATATTAAATATTTTTGTATTTATAGTACTTTATACAATTTAATATGACATAACATTACATAACTGAATGTCTATTAATTTACCATGTTGAAAAAACCATTGTGTAGATATCATTTTCATTTTTTTAATAATTTTTTTGATATTAATCTCTCACGTATTTAAAAACTATATTAAATGTTGACTAATTTAAAATCAATTTGCATTAAATCCCACAAGGGGAAAGCTCTCTCAATTTTTATTTTTTTATTTTTAAGATTCAAACTCAAAATTTAATTTAAGAAGAACCGAGTTTATTCTATTTAAATTAATAGGTCGTTGAACATTTTTTCAATAATTTAATGTCCCACATCAGATTACTGTTTAAAGAGGGACTAAAGTGGAGCTAAAAAATAAGCTTGAGGACTGCTTCATAGGAAAAAAATAAAACGATTGAGAACCAAAATGAGACCAAGTTAAGTTGAGGTACCAAATTGTAGAAAAAGATGCTCTGCAACGCCACGCTAACCCTCTGAAGTTAAAAAAAAAAAAGAAAAGAAAAAAAAACGAAGACCAAAACCAAAGGCATCCAAAACGTAGTCCCACGACGTCGTTAACCGCTCCACGGATACAGTCAAGCTATTAAACGTTGTCGTTTGCTATCCTTTTATCCCATAGATTCCCCCAGACGGACCCTCCCCTAACCTAACCAATCCAAAACACAAATAAATCTGAGAGCTGAGGAGCTGCCCTTTGAAAACCCTCTAAACAGTGCTTTCGATCTACGACCGTGAAGCTAGGGTTTCTCAGAACCGATTATCAAGATGGCGATGTCCGCTTTCAGACGGGAAGGGAAGCGCTTGTCCACTCTGATGTCTCCCCGCCCGATCATCGCCTCTAGATTACCTCCTCTCGCCACCCTTGAGTATGATCTTGTATTCCGATCTCTCTTGAATTCATACTCCTGCATCTGTATGTTACTAGTTTGTAATTGCCTTCTCTTTATTGGATCTTCCTCTTTTTTTTCGATGATGCAGATTGGGGAAAATGAAATGAGAAAAATGAAATGTCCGTATTTTCATATTTTACTTAAATTTCGCCATATTAAGTGTCTTCGAAATGCATTATATATTTTAAAATATATCTCCATTTTCCAGTCGTGGATTGTTCGTCAAAGAAGATTTTGACCCAAAAAATTTTGGGAATATTTATGGAAAAAATTTCTTAGAAATGCTTTGTGTATTTTTTAAAATGCCCTTCTCTGATTGAAATTTTTTAGTATTGGAAAATTTGAATTTTTTTATTTGAAATTTTCTTGGGTCAATATTTTTTGATTTCCCTGTTTTGCAGTCCGGACTGCGAAACAAGGGCTATTGAATGGGGGAACAGCTCCCAATATCAGGTTGCCCCGCCCCCATTCAATGGTAAGTGTTGTGCAGTCCAGTCACAACATTTTTTTGATATTTTTTATATGTAGTTTAAACTACTAAAATGTAATAATTTTGATGGCAGGGAGGATGGCCCTCAAGGAGCTCGCCATATTTCAACTCAAGCTGGTAAGTATAGTATTTCTGGTGTCATGCTGGATATGAGTTTTGTTGCTTTGAAGAATGTTCTCATGATGGATTGTAAAATATGTTAAATGTAGTTCGAAACAGGATGAAGAGTGTCAAGAATATTCAGAAAATCACTAAGGCAATGAAGATGGTTGCAGCCTCAAAGTTGAGGGCTATTCAAACCAGAGCTGAAAATTCTCGTGGCCTCTGGCAGCCATTTACTGCACTTCTTGGAGACACTCCTAGTATGTTTTAACAGACATTCCATGATTGTTTCTTGTGATCAGGTTCAGATGTTTTGTTTGCACAATATTGTTTCTTGCTTAAGTTTCTGCATGTGATTATTTTCTTTGCCCTTTTCGATTGAATACATCTTGTTTTAATGCTTCTTGTATGGCATTAATTTTATTAATCTCAGCCATATAGCTTGCTTCTCTTTTCCCCCAATCACGTGTATCCCTTCTCAAGATATTCTGAGAGAGTGACAAGTTTACTTCAAAATCACTTAACCGTGACTTAATGCTTGGCAGTATGATTTTGAGGACACTGGTGAAATTTCTTTGTTGGTCAATTAGTCATTCATACAGTCAAGCACTTTCAGAAACAGAATCTTTGGATTATAATTTGGGGAAGAAAAAATTAGTTCCATAAATATTAATGAAGATTGCAATTTTACGGATAGTATCTGATATATTCAACCTAACCTTGTGGGAGTAGTTTTAGATTCACATGTGGAGTTGATTGACCTTGGTTTTTGGGTAAAATTATGTGCATTTTAGTTTTGCTTAGTTTTGGTAATTTCAGTTTCTGTTGTCATTTTACACTTTTGTTCTCTTCAATGATTATTTTGATCTTTATAGAACATCAAGTATGTCAACTTCGTTCATTGATTTGTTCTATTTTAACACTAGGTGTTGATGTGAAGAAGAACGTTATTGTGACGATCTCTTCAGACAAAGGTCTTTGTGGTGGAATTAACTCCACATCAGTCAAAACAAGCAAGGCTTTGCGCAAATTGATTTCTGGTATATCTTGCGAGCAATTTTTTTCTTTTATTCCTTTTTTGTTGGTATCTCATAGTTCCTAGAGTTTGGTTGCATCTTATGCATAAAATATTTTCTGTTGGCACAGGTCCTGACAAAGAAACCACATATGTTATTTTGGGAGAAAAAGCAAAAGTTCAGTTGGTGCGTGACTCAAAGAAGAACATTGAGTTAAGCATAACTGAATTGCAGAAGAATCCTCTGAATTATACCCAGGTTAGTGTTCATATTTTATCTTCTATGAATCTGTGAAGAGAACCTTCATTGGTACAAACTAGTGAAGTTCAGTTCTCTGATCATTGAGTTTATTTTGGCTTCATGTGTTATTTTCAATTTTAACCTGCAATATGGTTGATGCTACCCTGTAGTTGTTACGTTTTGACCTTGAATTCAACTTTTTATTTTATTTTATTCTTATTTTATGAAACATTGAACTTAATTTTAGTTATTGATTGTTTGGGGAAAAAAAAGAGAAATTTCATGTCCTATTGTCTTATTCTTCTCCTCTTCAATTGCTTTTCTTGTGTTATGGAACAGAAATAAAGGATACACTATACTCTGTTATTGTTAATTCAGTCAGTGTTATTTTATTTTATGTCTTTCTTCTCCTCACATATTGTTGAAATTGTTGCCTTCATAGGTCTCTGTTCTCGCTGATGATATTTTGAAGAATGTGGAGTATGATGCTTTGAGGATTGTATTCAACAAGTTCCATTCTGTAGTTTCGTTTCTGCCAACAATGGCAACTGTTTTATCACCAGAGGTGAGGCGTCCATGATGCTTTAGTTTCATAATTCTGGACTTTGTTCTATTTGATTCTTGTTCTGCTTCTGGTTTCATGATTTGGTAGTGATATGTTGATATAGGTTGTTGAGAAGGAGTCTGAATCTGGTGGAAAGATTGGCGATCTCGACTCTTATGAAATTGAAGGTGGAGAAACCAAGGGTGAAATACTTCAAAATCTGGCTGAGTTTCAGTTTTCTTGTGTAAGTCAAATTCTCATGCTTTGAATAGTAACTGGGTTTGAGTCTGCTGTTGTGTGAAACAACTGTGGTGTT